GGGGGGGGGTTACAGGGCGGTGGGGGAGGGCAGAAGCCCCCCCAGACCATGGCAGCAAGCGCCGGTGCCGTTTGCCTTGCAGCAACCTGAGCTGGCTGGGCTACGGCTGCCTGAAGCAGGACCGGACGCTGATCGCCGTCAACACCGTCGGGGCGGCCCTGCAGACCCTCTACATCCTGGCGTACCTCTACTACAGCCCCGCGAAGGTGGGGGCCGGCCTGGGACGATGGGGGAGACGGGGGGACCCTCGCCCTGACCGTCCCCCTCCTCTCCGCCCCAGCGCCCCGTGCTGCTGCGGAGCCTGCTGCTTCTGGCTGTGCTGGTCGCCGGCTACGGCTACTTCACCCTCCTGATTGCCGACGCGCGGACGCGCCTGGGGTGCCTGGGGCTCTTCTGCAGCGTCTTCACCATCAGCATGTACCTCTCGCCACTGGCCGACCTGGTGCGTGGGGCTGGGGGGCCGCGGTGGCGGCGCCAGGGCTGCCCAGCCCGGGACCGGCCTGACGCGCGTTTCTGCAGGCCAAGATTGTCCGGACCAAGTCGACGCGCTGCCTGTCCTTCCCCCTGACCGTCACCACCTTCCTGGCCTCCACCAGCTGGACGCTGTACGGCCTGCAGCTCCGCGACCCCTACATCACGGTGGGTTGGGGTGGCGGGCAGCTGAGGGATGCTCTCCTGTCCTGGCCTATCCATCCCATCCCATCCCGTCCCGTCCCGTCCCGTCCCATCCCATCCCATCCCATTTCCTGTCCCATCCTATCCCATCCCGTCCCGTCCCATCTTGTCCTATCCCATGCTTTCCCATCCCATCCTTTCCTGTCCCGTCTGGTCCCGTCCCATCCCATCCCATCCCGTCCCATCCTATCCTATCCTTTCCCATCCCGTCTGGTCCCATCCCGTTCCATCCCATCCTTTCCTATCCCATCTCATGCTTTCCTATCCCATCTCATCCCATCCCATCCCATCCCATCCCATCCCATCCCATCCCATTTCCTGTCCTGTCCTGTCCCATCCCATGCCATCCCTTCCTGTCCTGTCTGGACCCATCCCATCCCATTCCATTTTCGGTCCCGTCCCATGCCATGCCATGCCATGCCATGCCATGCCATGCCATGCCATGCCATGCCATGCCATCCCATCCCATCCCATTTCCCATCCCGTCCCATCCCATCACATTTCCCGTCCTGTCTGGTCCCATCCCATCCCATCCCATCCCATCCCATCCCATCCCATCCCATCCCATTCCATTCCATTCCATTCCATTCCCTTCCCCATCCTGTCTGGTCCCATCCCATCCCATCCCATCCCATCTCATCCTATCCCATGCTTTCCCATCCCATCCTTTCCTGTCCCGTTTGGTCCCATCCCATCCCATCCTTTCCCATCCCATCTGGTCCCATCCCATCCTTTCCTATCCCATCTCATCCTTTCCTATCCCATGCCATCCCATCCCATTTCCCGTCCTGTTCCATCCCATGCCATCCTTTCCTTTCCTGTCTGGACCATCCCATCCCGTCCCATCCCAGCCGCCCCCGCCCCGTGCCGTTCGGCTGAGCGGTTGGCACCGGGCCGGCCCCCGGCCGGCGTCACGCGTGTCACACAGCAGAGCCCGTGACTGGGCTCAGCAAGCCGAGTATCGATTGTAATTAATTAGCTGGTATAAGGCCAATAAATCTCCCCCGGCAACGCGGGGCCGGCGCGGCGGCAGTGGGGGAGGGTAGCTCCGCTCTCCTCCCGCAGGTCCCGAACGTGCCGGGCATCGTCACCAG